GGAGGCACTTGGGCTGCATCCTCGACGCGGCCAACGCCGCTCTCGACCTCTCCTGCTGCTGCTGCTGCCTCTTCCGCTGGTCCATCATCACCGCCTCGAAGTTGGACACGCTTATGCTCCCGACGTCGCTCAAATCGGACGATCTCCCGTAATCGAGGTCCTCGTACTCGTCCAATATGTTGTTCACCGATTGCGTGTCGATCGAGCTGATGCTCTTCGACTTGTTCCTCGCCACGCTCTCGTCGCTGCTCGAGCAACCGTGATTCTGCCTGTCCCGACTCCCTTGCCTGCTCGCCCTCCGATACTTCAACACGGCGTTCTCGTACCGTTGCAGAGCATTCTCCCCGCTCCCCTCGATCGCCTCGTTCCTCGAGCCGATCCTCCTAGGGCCGGGCGATTGCTTGTACTGCCTCTGACCGACGAACATGCTCGCATTCCGTTCCAGCATCGAGCAGCTCCTTTCCTCTCGATCCATCCTCGACGGCCCACCGAACGTCCCCAAAGTGTGCGCTTCCTTCCGCGTCACCTCTGCCCGCGCGGCGCTCGATCGTGCGCCGCGATGCTCGAGCCCCGCCACCGTTCCATCCTCGTCCGCGAATGGAATGTTACCGCCACCGGTCAAACCCTTCAGGATCGTTTCATCGTTCATTTTTTGGATCGTTCTCGCATCTTCGCGTAATCTCGTTTCAAGGTTTCTTCTCCCTTCTTAACCTGTTACGGACAACCGACAACGTCATCGTGAATAATGGCGAAAAGGTACAAAGAGAAAATACTTAATCGTAAGAAATCGTATTAATTTATAATTACTCCAATTGATAAATTAGATCGATCGAGAATCGTCTCTTCGAACTTTGAATATTTTTCCAAGATTTTTGGAATTATAATTGCACGATTTTTTGCCATAAAAATACAAAATATAAAGTAGGGAGATATTCGAAAAGGGCGATATCTCTGAAAAATTCGAAGCGACTCTTCCGTAAAACGGTTCTCCCGTTTTAGGTTTCCGGTTAAGCGGCGGGCGCACGTTCCACCAATGCGGAGGTATCCGGTAGTTGACCGATATCCGGTCGGAATTAATTCGGTTTTCGAAGCCTGGGACGCATTAGATATTGTAATGGCCGGCCACGTGCTCGTGCGTCGAATCGTTAAAGACCATAACGGCCGCTTGGAATTCAATATGCCTGGCCAACCGTTGCACGGTGAATATTGACTATCGTAGAAGTATATTTGTGCTCGCCTCGAATATTTATATCGGGGATTAAATTTTCGTGGATTAATCGCGATTCACGGCAGCGGTAAAAATAAATCTTCGGCTAAATTGACGTTTCGTAAATTCTTACTTTGACGTTTGAGAAAATGTTGAACGAATATGACGCAGTTTGTCGACGATAAGATTAATTCGATGCTTTATTGAAATAAAGCTAATGTTTATTTTGAAAGAAAATCGTGCAACTTTTATTCTTTTTGGTATATTGTTCCATTTTAATAGTTTGTTTTATTTTTCCTCTTACGGAAAGGATGAATCTAATGTTCGAAAGTGTGCATCGAATCGTATGCGTTGAAACGTTGTATTCGTTATAGCGAAATAAAATTTCCTCTGATTAGAGGAATAAAAATATACAAAAAGATTTCTCATTTCGAGAAATAATTTTGTCGAAAGATTTGCTATGTTTCATACGTTCAATAAAATTCCCTTTTTTTTTTCAGATTCATACTTCCACGAAAATAGATATCGACAAACATTGATATATTTTTACGTATTTTCGTTCGAATCAGAGTTACAAACGATTTAATTCAATTCTAGATTTTGCTCTCGATATTCCACACGTTGCATTTTGCAATTTCTCCCGCATCATAAATCATATTATTGATGAAAATCCACCGGTCGGAAAACAAATTTCTAATTATCTCTCAATAATAATCGCATACCGCAATTATTACCAAATTCATTCCCGAATTACATTCCACGAGGATTTCTAGCCGGAGGGCGTTGCTTGTCTCGGAATTCGAGGCAATTACGAACGAATTTCGATTAAATGGCGAGCAGGGATGGATCTAAAATCTAAAAGAATATATCCCGGATAAATATCGAAACGTGGTGCCCTCCCCCGAGATATAAGTTTCAATTCAGAGGATGACGTGCAGCGTAAATTGAATTAAAGCAACGTCCCATCAGAGTATTAGAGGCGCGCTCCACGCGATTCTAACGTTTCCCACGCGGCCTCGCCTCAAGGATCTCTCGGCCAGAGTTCTACTTTTAGATCTGTTCATCGAGATATCGGCCGTGGGCCACCGCGTAGCCGCGAGATTCGTGCGTCGAGAGAGATTCCTGCTGCTCGCCCATGGCCTCGTTCTCTCTCTCTCTCTCTTTCTCTGAAATTGACCCACAATTAAGATGTCGGCCGCGTGCTGGCTCGAAAATGTGAGACGCTAATGTACAGAGTGATTCAGAAATAAGCGTCGATACCTCGATTTTTTAAATTGCGTGGCGAGGTGGGGAAAATCTCTGATTTGGATTTATAATATTTTTTTAACGTTGATAGTACGCGAATATGGTTTCGTGAAATTCGTGGATTTCAGATTATTCGATAAATTAGAGTAATTTGTATTTAGACAGAGACATTTGGAACATTCTTTCACACCGTTCGATCTTTGATTTGATTGATTCTCCAAAGCAATAGAATAGCAACTTCAGAGTTCCAAATCAATAACAAATATGTCAAATAACGATCGTTTGGTTAAATTCGATCCGACACATAATTGGATACCGAGAAAGTAATAATAATAAATACCCATTAAAAGTTAAAATTTCGAATAAAATGCTTAACAACAACATTTGTTCATTTGCTATTATAATTAATCCGCTCTTCTATAGTATAACCTCTTAGTATTACAGTATTGTTCCATGTTTTTGAATGATAAATAATTAAACTAACTTTATTAAAATAATTCTTTATTCTTAATTTCAACCGCAATTCAATCTTTCTCCGATCCAAACGTAACCTATCAATCAAACGTAATCAATCATTTATAAAATTAGAAATTAAGATACACAGGAGGGCACCATATTCGTATACTTGTCACTACTACTTTCTTCATATTTCCTCCGCCGTGTCTAAATATATTTCTGAATCATCCTATATGTAACAGTCTCTCCTCCCCCATCGCGTTAACCAGGACCGCTAAACGAGCAACAAAAGCGTTTCTTTCGAGACAATGCGGTTCCAACGGGGCACAATGCACGGACCCGATAAATAAAAGGAAGGGGAAACGGAAGGGGAGAGAGGAGAGAACGAAACAGAAGGTTTCGCTCGTAATTATCATCTCGAAAAAAATACATTCCGCGCGGGTGGAACGCGACACGCCGAATGGCTGAGTTCCATCGCCAACGCCGCCACCATCGCAAAAAGGGAGGGAGAGAGAGAGAGAGAAACCTATTTTTCGGATGCATTGACCCGAATCTTAAATCTGCCTCTCTGGAACAGAGATTGCACACGTTGCAACGAAATCGGCATTTTCGTTTCGTTAACGAAATTCTTCACCCTCGTTCTCGATCCATACCCGTTTCCTACGTTTTATGAAAAACGTTCTGGACACGAGAAATGTCTCGGAGATTCGATGATTAATTGCGAAATTTAATATAACGGCGTTTAGATCGAACTCGCAACGAGATGATTTTCCACGGTTTCGAAGAAGTTAGCCGATCGTATAAAGACGCGGTGTTCGTGTTATTAATTCTTCGAACAGCGCGATGAAATGGATACAGGAAGCATCTTTTTTATCAGGTTTTATTATTCAAGTAATTATATCATGAAAATTGAACGAGAGAAAAAAATTGAATACAATATGGATCGAAATATAAAGTTTAATAAAATCGTTTTCTAAGTCTCTACTATACGAAAAAACGAAACTCGTTTTTGCAGAAGAACGAATATTGAACAGGCAACGTAAGAAAGACCTGGAAAGTTAAAAAATATAATTAGTTCGAGGAAGGAGAAAGGAAAAGAGACAAGCACGAGTGGATCGACATATGGGTTCTTCAATTCGGCTTGGCATAATTTCGGTCCCAATTGATATCTACCGGGCCGGATCTCGATTGGGGTCTGCCGGAATCGAAGAGTTAAATCGCGATTCTCCTCTGGCTGCCATTGAACGAAAGAAAAACTCGTGTAAAAAAAAAACAACCAAAAAAATCCATGCTCGTGGCGTACATTAGCATAAATTTCATTTCACATCATCGGGATGTAAAAATCCGCTAGACAATTTCGGTGTATATATACTCGAATAGACGTGTGCACTCGGTTCTCCTCTGATTCTGACCGCGTAAAAAAGAGAAAAAGAAAAGAAAAAAAGAAAAAATTTTTTTTAATCACCATCCAATGTTCACGAGCAATGAACATTGAAAAATATATACCGCACACGAGCGTTTCAGCTGTCTCGAGTTGTAATCGTTCGTATCCAATCGAACGATACAACTCGAGGGCTCGAGTCGACGAATCGTGTGGCAGCCGCCG